GTGATTGATGACTCAGTGAAAAGAAAGGAGGCATGAAAATGCTATTCAAGCTAGAGTTGTAGGTTCAGACGTCACTATCACAACAAAATGTTAAGTTTCTCTTTTCTTAAAAGGGAAAATGCATAAGTACCCCCCAACCTATGCTCGAAATCCCAGAGATACACCTAACCTTTACTAAGGTCCTATTACCCCCCGAACTTAGTTTTTAATTAATTTTCTACCCCTTTTCAACGTACATGGCACTATCCTTGAAAAAATTGTCAACACGCGCTGGGCCCACAAGATAGTGCCACGTACGTTGAAAAGGGGTAGAAAATTAATTAAAAACTAAGTTCGGGGGGTAATAGGACCTTAGTAAAGGTTAGGTGTATCTCAGGGATTTTGGGCATAGGCTGAGGGGGTACTTATGCATTTTCCCTAGCGACTTCAGCATAGTTGTTGCAACAATTAAACAATTGTTGAAGTTGTTGCAACAACTTTAACATAGTTGCTATAGTAATTTCGAAAGTTCTTTAATTTTCTGGCAAAAAGTGATATAGTAAAGGAGCCGACGAAGTTGATGATGGTTGTGGTGGAGGAGAAAATGATGAGTTCGGAATCAAAATGACAATTTTTTTTCTTTTAAAATGCGTAAAGGGCCACTGAATTTTATTTTATACCAAAACGGACAAATCATTGCTAGGGCAGCGAGATTCTTTTTCAATTTTAACACCGTAAAATCGGTGTCTAAAATTCAATATTTCTCGTTGCAGGGATATTAACGGGTTGAGTTATGATTCATTACTACCTACCGTTTTGATCCAACCCATTTTGGCCCAAACAAATTTGGGTTAGGTTGGGTCTTGACCCATTTTGATCCACCTAAATTTAGGAAAAAAATACATAAATACACATCTTATTTTCCCCATAATTTCTAAAATTTCCTATCATTTTAAAAAAAATTCAAAAATCCCCTCTCGGATACATCACTCCCCTCTCGCTGATACATCCCTATCCCCTCTCGGATACATTCCTCCCCTATGTATCCGGATGTGATGTAACCAGAAGCCCAGTGATGAATCCGAAATCCATAAATTTTAGGGAAAATTATCAAAACAACAATATTTTAGCCTTTAGTGGGACTCCTTAGCAACATTTTAACTATTTATTAAAAATGATAATATTTTAGATTGTTAAAAGGATGAGTTATGTTTTTTATTTTATTTTGATTAATTTGTAAGAATACAAATACTTAATAATAAAATAGAGAAAAACATTGAACATAAAACATCAAATAAGGAAAAAACGACTTTAAAACTTATTCAATTCCTTTTTGAAAAGCGGCGATGTTGCCATTATTTCTGTGGAGCGTTTTTTTGCTCTTCCATTCTTAATAATTCCAAAAAAATAATTTGCAAAAAAAGTTTTGTCTTCCTAATCATTCAATTGATAATATTCCTAGCTTGTTCGAATCGAATTCGACATATTTTTAAAGCGGATGTTTTCGAATTCCACGACTATAATTTCGTCAGTTCCATTGAATAACAAGATTTTCGACATCAGGTATTTGTTTTTTTTGTTGTTTATTTTGAATCGGTGAAATTTTTGTATGGTTTGAAATTTTTATTGAAATTTCGACATCAGTTCCATTGAAATCAAGAAAAATCACATAAACACGCTGAGGAACAATCATATGTTTTGTATCCAATATATGATGCATAAGGCTTGAAAGTGCTTGATTCTTTTTTAGTTTCATAGTTGTTTTCTTTTTATTTAAAGGCATACAATCTTTTTTTGTATCCCATTATGTTTGATGTAAATATTAACAATATGAAATTGTATATTTTTTTAGTTTTGAAGTTGTTGTTAATGTATGCATACAACTTTATAAAGGTTAAAAATCATAAATAAATTAAGAATTGTATACTAATATTTGTTGACTTTCTGTAAATTCTGGATATAATTAAATATTTGATATAATATTGGATATAATTGATTATTGGATACAATTTTTTTGTTTTAGAATACTGTAAATATGTGATTATCAAATATATATTTGTTAATGTAGTTATGGGAAGCATTAGTTTTCTAGTCATGCATTCTGGGAGGTGGAACGAGGATAATTGCTATGTTGATTACACTATAGAAGCAATTGTGATAAAAGAATATGCGACACTTAGAGAATCATTAGATGTTGTTTCTAAGCAAATTTGTGTTGATTTGAGCTTCAACAGTGTGAAACTTAGGTATAAAATAGAGGGTAGTAATGCACCTTTGGAAATACACAACGACATGGGTGTGAGGGTGTATGTGACTTTGAACAAAGATAACAAGGAATTGGCAAAGTATCCTCTATGTGTATTCGTATTTGTGAATGATTGTGGATTGGATGATAGAAATATTTTGGAAGATGGATTTCAAATGTGTGGAATAGATGGAGGATATATAGTTGATACACAAGCATTAATGCTTAGTGTGCCGAACAATAGCGATTACATGAATTGTGACATTATTACAAACACCAAACATAAGGTAATAATGGAAGATCAAGTTCATAAGGACAAGGGAACTTTAAAAGTTGTAATGACGCAATACGCAATACAGCATAGATTCCAATGGAGAACGGACAGATCAAGTCAAACATGGTATGTGTATTTGGGTTGGATTTCTTTTATAATTGTATTTTCAATATGTTTTTTTTTTACATAACATCAACATTTAATTTGTATTATACCAATTCTAATAGTATAATATTCAAACAGTTATACACTTGTTTGTGTGTCTGAGAAATGTGGATGGATGTTGAAGTCGTCAAGTATTAATAAATCTGGAATGTTTAGAATTAGAAAATTTGTAGATGAGCACACATGTCCATTGAAAGATAAGGTGTATGATCAGCGACAAGCAACAAGCAATCTTATTGGAGGTATGATCCAACCCAAATTAGTTGATCATAAAAGGAAGTTAACGGCAAAGGATATACAACAAGATGTCAACCTAGCTCTTGGAGTAGATGTATCCTACGCAGTGGCATGGAAGGCTAAGGAAAAGGCTGTAATTTCTTTAAGGGGGACACCATCTGGAAACTGACTGTACATACCGCTTTCAACCAGATCAAAATGTATTCTAGGAACTTTTTTGGTAACTCTTTCACCTGAAAAAATAACTGTTTGGATGAAGAATAATATGGCAAACTTCAAGCCATCCTGATCGTTATCACCCCACACTTTTCCCTTAAAACTCTCCATTATATCTACTTTTCTGATCAACTTAACACCCAGAAAATATTGTTCCATCAACCTGTTTGGTTCTGTTGTATCAAAAATGAAATCTTTTTCTTCGCTGACACAGTTTAATCCACTAATCAAAGCGAATTCTCTTAAAGTGAAACGAAG